ACAGCTGTGCAAAGGCCCTGTGGTGAGGGAAAGCACACTGTGTTTGAGGTGTGCAGGGTCACAAGGTGTTAAGTGACTGGACAGTGAATGCTGAGGCTGGGCAGGTGAGCTGGGCCCAGCCATGTTGGACATGGGTGCAGGGATGAGTTCCATGGGTGCTGGTGAAGATATTAGGCTCTATGCCATTTAGAGCCCCTGGCTAGTAGGGAGGTGACTGGGGAGTTGTTCAAGCCTGGACAGTACTCTGTCCACAGCATCTGTCCTGGGACTGACTCCCCTGTTAATGGAACCCTGCAGTTTTCTTTTTCTTTTTTTTTTTTTGAGACAAGTCTCGCTCTTGTCCCCCAGGCTGGAGTGCAATGGTGCGATCTCAGTTCACTGCAATCTCCGCCTCCCGGGTTCAAGCGATTCTCCTGCCTCAACCTCCAGAGTAGCTGGGATTACAGGCACCTGCCACCACACTTGGCTAATTTTTGTATTTTTAGTAGAGACGGTGTTTCACCATATTGACTGGGCTGGTCTTGAACTCCTGACCTCAGGTGATCCACCTGCCTCGGCCTCCCAAAATGCTGGGATTACAGGTGTGAGCCACCCTGCACCCAGCCTGGGGCCCTGCAGTTTTCTCATTAATATCGAGTCTGAGTGTCTCTAGCTCAGTGGCTTACATCCCCACTGCTTACAACACACGTCTTAGCTTGTCACACTTCAGATTCTCAGGAGAAAATCTGATTCTACTCAGCCTATAGGGCCAAGATGAGGTCAGTGGCTGGGAACAGTGGTCCACGCCTGTAATCCCAACACATTGAGGCCGAGGTGGGAGGATCTCTTGAACCTGGGAGTTGGGCACGCCATGGTAAAACCCTGTTTCTATTTTTTTTTTTGAGATGGAGTCTCCCTTTGTCGCCCAGGCTGGAGTGCTGTGGTGCAATCTCAGCTCACTGCAAGCTTCGCCTCCAGGTTCATGCCATTCTCCTGCCTCAGCCTCCTGAGTAGCTGAGACCACAGGTGCCCGCCACCACCCCCAGCTAATTTTTTTGTGTGTTTTTAGCCAGAATGGTCTCGATCTCCTGACCTGGTGATCTGCCTGTCTTGGCCTCCCAAAGTGCTGGGATTACAGGCGTGAGCCACTGCGCCTGGCCTTTTTTTCTTTTTCTTTTT